TGGACCGGCTGCCTCCTGCACACTGCCTATTGGGGATCGAGCCCGCAACCCAGGCATGTGCCCTTGACAGGAATCAAGGTGCCCTTCAGTCCATGGGCTGATGCTATACCCACTGACTCAAACAGGCTAAGGCAATGAGGGCATTTTTTAAAGATTCTTCCTCTACAAGGAGGTGGCTGGTGGAAACATTGCCAATCTCATCCCGGGAATAAACATCCTGGGCAGCAGCGGGAAGAATGGTCTTAAAAGAACGGATGGAGGATATACCACTATCGGGTTGCCTCTGGTAATCATAGCGTGAAAAAGGTCCCTTAAGCACAGCCCCTGTGTGCTTCAAGTCCACATTTTCTTCCACAGCAATATTACCCCAGTGAGAGACCTCGATGACTCGGGTCATGCTGGTGATAGTAAGAAAAGGGCTGTTGTTCTCATAATGTACTTTAAAAGTATCCTGTAGAAGAAGGAAACAAGTAGTTCAAAGTTCAAATCAAACTGATTAGAAATTACATATAAGCAACAGAATGATTAAATTATAATGTATCTACTGTATGTAACATTTTAAAAAATTTACTACGAATTTTTAGTACTATATGGAAATATTCATGATGTTATTAGAAAAATAGGATATACAAAATTCTTTTAAGTTCCAACACAAATATCACTTGTTTAAAAAAAAAAACTTCTACACTCTACTTATAGCAACTACGTGAGAAAAAAGATTCTAAAATGCAATACATAAGAATGCATATAGGAAGCAGAATTAAAGATTATTTGTACTTTTTCTTTATAGTTTTAATTTTTTCCATTTTTCAATTACAGCTGACACTCAATACTACATTAGTTTCAGGTGTACAGTACAGTGGCTAGACATTTACATAACATATGAAGTGATCCCATGATAAATCTACACCATAGTTATTATTGACTAGAGTCCCTATGCTGCACTTTATATCCCAGTGACTATTTCGTAACTGCCAATTTATACTTCTGAATCCCTTCCCCTTTTCACCTGGCAACCCTTAGTTTGTTCTCTGCATCAGAGTTTGTTTCTTTTCTGTTTGTTCATTCGTTTTTTTAGATTCCACATATAAGTCAAATCATATGGTATTTGTTTTCCTGACTTATTCCACTCAGCATAATACCCTCTCAGTCTATCCATGTTGTAACAGATGGTCAAGATTCATTGTTTCAAAGCCAACTACCACTCCACTGCATGTATGTACCGCATTCTCTTTATTCACCCATCAATAGACGGACACTGGTTAATTCCATATTTTGGCTATTGTAAATAATGCTGCAATGCACACAGGATGCAAACATCTTTTCAAATTAGTGTTTTGGATTTCTTTGGATATATACCCAGAAGTGGGATTGCTGGGCCAGATGGTAGCTCTGTCTTTAATTTTTTGAGGAACATCCACACTGTTTTCTATACTGGCTGCACCAATTTGCAATTAGGCCAAAAACCATGAGGGTTTTCTTTCTCCACATCTTGACAACTTAGTTTGTTGATTTACTAATGATAGCCATTCTGACAGGTATAAGGTGATACCTCATTGTGGTTTTAATTTACATTTCTCTGATGAGTAGTGATGTTGAGCATACTTTCATATGTCTACTGGCCAATTGTATCTTACTTGGAGAAATGTCTCTTCACAGGTCCTCTGACCATGTTACAGATTGTTTTTCAGAGGGTTAAGTTGTATGAGTTCCCTATATATTTTAGATATTAACCCCTTATCAAATGTATCATTGGCAAGTATCTTCTCCCATTCAGAAGGTTGTCTTTTCATTTTGATAGTTTCCTTTGCTGTGAAAAAAACATTTTAGTTTGATCGAGTCCCATTTGTTTGTTTCTTCATTTGTCTCCCTTGCCCAAGGAGACATAAAAAAAAAACGGTACTAAGGGCAATGTCAGAGTTTACTGCCTGTTTTCTTCTAGGAGTTTCATAATTGAGTCTTACCTTTAAATCTTTAACCCATTTTGAGTTTATCCTTGTATATGGTTTAAGTGGCCTAGTGTGGTTTCCATTTTTGCATGTATCTGTCCAGTTTTCCCAACACCATTTATTAACCAGTTAACTGCCACATGTCCAAAACAGAAACCAATAAAGGTCCACCAGTGTCTATAGACACTTATGGCGTACAAAGGGTTAGAGACTCTTTACCCCGTTGTACCTTTTGCCTCCTTTGTCACATTAATTGATCATTGATCACGTAGGCTTGGATTTATTTCTGGGCTATTTTGTTCCATTGATCTAGGCATCTGGTTTTATGCCAGTAGGATGATGTTGATTTCTAAAGCCTTGTAGTATAGTTTGATATCAGATAGTGTGGTACCTCCAACTTTGTTTTTTCTCAACATTATTTTTGCTATTAGGAGTCTTTTGTGGTTCATATAAATTTTAGAATTCTTTGTTCCAGTTCTGTGAAAAATACTATTGGTATTTTGATAGGGATTAGACTAAACCTATACATTGCTTTAGGTAGTATGAACATTTTAACCATGTTAAAACAGTTCAACCATGTTTATGCTTCCATTTAATTTTCTCTTCTTCGATTTCTTTCTTTGATGTCTTATAATCTTTTAAGTCCAGGACTTCCAATACTGTTGTATATAGGTGGGGAAAGCAGACATCCATGTCTTGTTCCTGATCTTAAGGAAAATGCTTTTAGCTGTTCATCGTTGAGTATGATGTAAGATGTGGGTTTGTCACATATGGCCTTCATTATGTTGAGGTATGTTCCCTTTATTCACACTTTGCTGAAAGTTTTTATCATAAATGGATGCCATATTTTGTAAAAATGCTGTTTTGTGTAATATTGATGTGATATGGTTTTCATCATTCATTCTGTTTATGTGGTGTATAATGTTAATTGATTTGTGGATATTGAACCAATCTTGTATCCCAGAAATAAATCCCATTTGATCATGGGCACGATTTTTTTATTATACCGCCGAATTGAGTTTGTTAATATTTTGTTTAAGACATTTGCATCTAAGCTCATCGGGGATATTGGCCTATAATTTCTTGTTTTTCTGTAGTCTTTATCTGGTTTTAGAATCAGGGTGATGCTGACCTCCTAAAATGAGCTTTAAGTCTTCCCTCCTCTTGAATTTCTGAAAATAGTTTAAGAACGATACATGATAATTCTTTGAATGTTTGGAAAAATTCACTCGTGAAGCCATGTGAAGCCATCCAGCATAGGCCTTTTGTTAGGAGTTTTGTTTGTTGGGAGTTTCTTGATTACTGATTCAATTTTGTTAGTAGTTATCAGTCTATTCAGATTTCCGTTTCTAACTGATTCATTCTTTTGGAAGATTGTATGTTTCTAGGAATGTATCCATTTCTTCCAGGTTATCCAACTTGTTGGCAAACAATTGTTCATAGTGTTTTCTTATAATTATTTATACCTCTCTTTAATTTCTGATTTTATCTGGGTCCTCTTTCTTTTCTTCTTGATGAGTCTAATTAAAGATTTAGCATTTTAGCCCCGCCAGTGTGGCAAGCTCAGGGGTTGAGAATCAACCTATGAACCAGGAGGTCACGGTTCGATTCCCGGTCAGGGCACATGCCCTGGGTTGTGGGACAATCCCCGGTAGGGAGCCTGCAGGAGGCAGCCAATCAATGATCCTCTCTCATCACTGATGTTTCTATCTCTCACCCTCTCTCTTACTCTCTGAAATCAATTAAAATATATATATATATTAAAAAAGAAAATGTAAGAATTTTAATTTTCAAAAAATTAAACCTATAAAAATTCTTGAAAAGTTAAAAACAACCCAAAATAAACAGCCCTAACTATATGTTAAATGACATTTAAAAGAGAAAACAGAAAGAAAACATAGGGTAAAATGATATGATTCCTAAGATTTGCTCTAAATTATTACAGCAAAAAAAAAAAGACAGCTGAAGTGTGCTGATATCTTGATAACCACTGAATCTAAGTAATATCTAAGTGATGGGTCTATTGGGAGTTGCTATACTATTCTCTATACTTTTACATATGTTTGAAATTTTTCATAACAAAATCTTTTTTAAGACTTAATTGCTCCTTCTACTTTTAAGGCCCAACCTAAGGCTCAGCAATGGAGCCAGCTTTACTACCCACAGCAGCTACTCCAGCCACACTGGACAACACACCACATATTTTCCCATTTCTTTCCTTTTCTCTTTTTTTCAATCCTCATCAGAGGATATGTTGAGAGAGGAAGGGGGAGGGGGGGGCGGAGGAGAGAGAGAGCAACATCGATCAGCTGCCTCTAGTATCCACCCTGACCTGGGGTTGAACCCACAACCTAGGTATGTGCCCTGACTGGGAATCGAATCCACAACCTTTTGGTGTATGTGACCACGCTCCAACCGACTGAGTCACCCAGCCAGGGTTCCTATCTGTATTCTTATCCTCAGGCCTCTGTCCTTTTTTTCTTTTTAGGATATATTTTTATTGATTTCAGAGAGAAGGGGAGAGGGAGAGATAGAAACATCAATGATGAGAGAATCATTGACTGGCTGCCTCCTGCATGCCCCCTACTGGGGATTGATCCTGCTACCCAGGCATGTGCCCTTGACTGATACCAAACCTGGGACCCTTCAGTCTGCAGGCTGACACTCTAACCACTGAGCAAAACCAGCTAGGGAAGGCCTTTGAGCTTCTTATTGCCTCTGCCTAGAATGCCTTGTTTCCTTCCCCCCCAACACCTACTCCAACTCTCCAAATGCTATCTGCTTTAAAAAGTCTTCCTAGGACATATATACTTTCAATAATAAAGTTTTTTTTAAATAAAAAATAAATAAATAAAACAAATAAATGTCTTCCTAAACTCACAGCCTCTACCTGTACTCCCAAGAGAACAATGACCCCATGGGTCATTCCACAGCAGATTAAAAAACTGATCTTGGATTTCCACCAACCCTACACCACCCAACCCTATCAACTAACTAGCTGTCACTCTAGAAGACGTTCTCTGAAGTAGACAGGCATGGGCAATATTCCACATGAGCCTACCTGACTATAGGCAGGGACATCTCTGAAAGGTCCATAATCCAGGAGGTCCTCAGATCGTGTGGGGTTTCCCAACTTGGTGTAGCTCTCCACATTTCGAGAGGCAAGCTTCACACGCATAGTTTGTGTCTTTGTGGGATAGGGAGAATAGAAATAATGGTTTCCCTCAAACACCACAAACTGTTTCTCTGATTGAGTGATCTGGGTTGGATATGGCTGAAGCACATGGGTATAGACTGTTTCCAAAATGACTGAAATCTTCATCCCAGGATCGAGAGCAACTGGTAGCTTGACCATGAAGAATCTACCACTGCAGGAAAAATGAGGCAACAGAAGTAAGGAAATTAGAAACAGCTAGGAACTCAAAGTCACAGCAAAATTTTGTAACCAAGATAAAAGCACGAAATAATCCAGTCGGAGAAAGATGAATATCACATGATCTCACTCATATGTGGGATATAATGATCAACATAATTTGATGAACAAGAATAGATCCAGCCTTAACCAGCTTGGCTCAGTGGATAGAGCGTCGGCCTGCGGACTCAAGGGTCCCAGGTTCAATTCCGGTCAAGGGCATGTACCTTGGTTGCAGGCACATCCCCAGTAGTGCCTAGCACTGCTCCAAGCTTGTTTTTCCTTCCCACTGATACTTTGGGAGAATTTTAAATTATCATTAAAAGGGAGCCATTGCCCTAGCCAGTTTGGCTAAGGAGATAGAGTGTCGCCTGCAGACTGAAGGGTCCCAGGTTCGATTCCGGTCAAGGGCATGTACTTGGGTTGTGGGCATATCCCCAGTAGGAGATGTGCAGGAGGCAGCTGATCGAAGTTTCTCTCTTATCGATGTTTCTCTCTCTCTCCCTTCCTCTCTGTAAAAAATCAATAAAATATATTTAAAAAAAAGATAAAAGCAGTTATATTTAAGAGATCACCTTTAACCTATTAATTAAAACCTTTTAAGATAAATATCTGGATGTTCATCTCAAGATTATTTATAATAGTAAAAGAGTATAAAACAACATAAATGTCCAACAATAGGATAACAGTTTAAAAAATTCTAGTACAGCCGAAATCGGTTTGGCTCAGTGGATAGAGCGTCGGCTTGCGGACTGAAAGGTCCCAGGTTCGATTCCGGTCAAGGGCATGTACCTGGGTTGCAGGCACATCCCCAGTAGGAGATGTGCAGGAGGCAGCTGTTCGATGTTTCTCTCTCATCGATGTTTCTACCTTTCTATCTCTCTCCCTTCCTCTCTGTAAAAAATTAATATTAAAAAAAAAAAATTCTAGTACAGAGCCACACAATGGGATATTGGCAGCCACTAAAGAAGATACTTAGATTTATCTATATTAAACATTTCCATGTACAATGTAAGTAACAGATTAATTTACAAAAGAAACAGTGATTCCTTTTAAAAACATACATATATACAATTGTATGTGAAGAAAGTATCTCAATGAATGTTCCACACAATGTTTAATGGTAACCGTCTCAGGATAGGAGAATAAGCTTCATTTTGTTGTTTTTTCCAATTTGTTTCAGAATGAGCTATACTCTCATAACCAGAATGAAATAAAGCTGTTAGCATTTTAAAGAAAAAGAGATGGCCTGGAAACTACTTAAATTCATATAAAGAATTAACTCAAAAAATGAATCTGAGTTTATTATGCCAGGAGACCAATTCCTTACAGACCCAGAAACCATTTGTGGAAAACTGACGGCTTTTTAACATGCTTCCATGGTATTTAGAGTCCTTACAGGTCTTCACCAGGCACATCTTCATACTTCATAACACTACTCTGAAGTACCTACTCAAAATATAATAAGTCCTATACCTTCTCCAGAAACAGTCTTAACCAATTCTTGGTTTCAAGTCCCAATTATGCTTCTCGTCCCATTCTCTATCCTGAGATCTAAACTCAAATTTTCAAATGTTCATTACTAGACAACTCCACTGACTACCCCACAAGCAATTCAACATATCCAATATCTAATATCATTCATGATCCCAATTTCCTCTATTAATATTGCTACCATCTAACCAACTCTAAGCTAGAAACCTCAGGCATTTTCTGATGCCTCACACTACCCTATCCCAATTACAAAATATTGGATTTATCCTGCCTTACAATGTCTCCCAAATCCATCCCCTCCTGGCTTTCCATTGCCTCTTCCTCAATTCAAACCATTATCTCTTGCCTAGATTATTAATCTCCTAATCTCTATCTCCCTGCCAGCCCATCAACACAATTTGATGGTGTCACTCCCACCTTAATTTTCATGTTAAATACTCCCAACATAATTGAATCTTGCTTTGATAATTCAGAGCCATTCAGTGCTCTAGGGTCATTATTTCGGACATCAAATCTTACTGAAGCCCGGCTGGTGTGGCTCAACAGTTAAGCGTTGACTCAGGAATGGAGAGGTCTCTGGTTTGATTCTCAGTTCAATTCCCAGTCAGTGCACATGCCCAGGTTGTGGGCTCGATCCCCAGTGGGAGCCATGCAGGAGGCCAATCGACGACTTCCTCTCTCATCAACATTTCTATCTCTCTAGCCCTCTCCCTTCCTCTCTCTAAAAATCAATAAAAAATATTTTTTTAAAAATCTTATTGAAATGTGCAAACACCGGCTAGTGAAGGTTTCTGATTGATAAAAGGCTGGCCACGCAACAAAGACCTGAGTATACTGGTGTCTAAGAAGGAGACAGGTTTTTTTTCATATAGCTTGTCTTCTGCAGGACCTAATGGAAGAACATTCTGTGACGAATCTGGTTTTGTTGGGTAAAATAAGGCAATTACTCATTTGTTGAAACATATTTACTGAAAACCCAGTAAGTGTCAGTTTCTGTGGCAGGAAGCAGTAATAAAGACAAATCCGTGTAATACATGCACTCAGAATTGGGAATAAATAAAATAGTATACTGTTAAAGTTTTTAAATATTCCCAACTGACTAAAAAGTCCACAACCCTAAAAATAGTATACAAAGCAGTCCTTAAACTGACCTCAGCCCTCCTTACACATTCCTCTGAACTCCAGCCACTCTAAAGGCCCAGTTAACTAAACACAGCATGAAATGTCAAACCTCTGTTATCTTTACAATGTCTCTGCCTGGAATGCTCCTTCTCATTGGTTAATTCGCTTAGTGATTAAGTCAAAATTTACTGAGCACTTACTATGTACCAGGTTCTGTTCCAAGTATATTTTATGAATTAATTTAGTGAATCTTTTTTTTAAAATATATTTTATTGATTTTTTTACAGAGAGGAAGGGAGAGAGACAGAGTCAGAAACATTGATCAGCTGCCTCCCGCACACCTCCCACCGGGGATGTGCCCGCAACCCAGGTACATGCCCTTGACCGGAATCGAACCCGGGACCCTTCAGTCCACAGGCCGACGCTCTATCCACCGAGCCAAACCGGTTTCGGCGATTTAGTGAATCTTAACCATGATCATATAACGTAGACATTATTACTTTACTAAGAAGGGAAGTATTCTTTAGTTTCCCAAGGATACAAAGCCAGTAAGTAGTAACAGAGATAGGATTTGAACCCTGGGAGTAAGACTGCATAAGACCACACTCATAACTATTATGCCATCCTGCCTCTCCAAGAGATGTGCTGCAGGCCATGAGTCGCAGCCAGTAAGCACAGACAGCGTCCTTAAACAGCCACAGAGAGAGAGGAGTCTCTGAAATATTAACAAGGGAGAAGGGATTTATTAGCAACTTATTTAAGGCTAACTCAGATCTGGCATCCACAGGGGTGGTGAAGATGCCCAATTCATGCATTCTGAGACTACAATAGAAAAATCAAGGTAATCAACATGTATTATAATTTGGCTCCTTAGATAATGTTTTTGTAGATCAAATCAAAGCAACTCAAGAATTACATGTAATAAAAGGAAACTATGAAGATTACACAGAAAACAGGAAATATGTGGGAGAAAAAAAGATTTAAAAGTAGGAGCACATAAAACTAAATAACAAAATATAAAAAGTATTTTTAAAGTAGGATCACACAGTGATTAAAACTATATAAAATATATCTGCATGTTGAAATGGTCCAGAACAAAAATATCTAAGTTGTCATGCCAGGGTTATGGGACTTGTTTAACGTTGCTATTAAGCTTTATATAGAACTAGGGACCCGTTGCACAAATTTGTGCACCTTGAAAGGAACTGTGGGCCACAAGGCTGCAGTAGGCACAGGGTGCATCTCAGCCCATCCTCTGTGCCACTGCCCGGCCCCTCCTGCCACGGCCCCCAGTCCCGTCTGCCAGCAGCCCTGCTCCACTGCTCCCACGTGCTGACGGCGCCATGCTTGCACCTGCTGAAGGTGCAGAGCGATTGGGGCCGGCGCCAGCAGCAGGTGTAAGCACCAGGCAGGACTTCAGCGTGCGGGAGCAAAGAATTTTCAGTAACCACCAGAGCCTCGCCCCAATGACAGCAACGGTGCCCCACCTTATAATGGTGCCCCTGCTTACCTGCTCCATCATCCCACCTCAGCCAATGCCTGCCATGTTCTGCGCATGCCCCCTGGTGGTCAGCACAAGTCATAACGACCAGTTACATATTAGTCTTTTATTATATAGGATAAATTTAAATATGATCCCATTTATACCCATATGTAAAATCATGTATGTACAGACATATACATTAAAAACACAGTTATTGTTAGAACAAATTATTATTAAAAAATTAAAAATAACTGAGAAAAAGTTTTTTTTAATTCTGTCATTTTTTAAAATATATTTTATTGATTTCAGAAAGGAAGGGAAAGGGAGAGAGAGATACAAACATCAATGATGAGAGTCATTGATCAGCTGCTTCCTGCACACTCCCTACTGGGGATCTGGAACAGCAAAGTAACCAGAGTCGGGAAGAAAGGCCACCAAGCACTTGGAAGATGCAGAAATTCACCTTTATTCCAAAAGCAGCGCTGCTGGCGCAGGGAAATCAGTTTCCAAAAGCTGAGTA